TTGCTCCACTTCACACTTATGTGGTCTATCCTTCAGCCTGTAGGGCACATTCTAATAATGCCTTGCCTCCAGGTGAACAGTCCAGCGTTTGAGAACTGGCAAAGCCTGCGAAAATGACCAGTGCGGATGAACACTGGTCAGAACATTAAGTGGGGTGCCTCTGACCCCTCTGCTGTCCATAGAAAAGCTGGTGAGAACCCCAACGGAGGGGGCCCAGTAGCCAGAGACAATGTGGGCTGAAGGCCCAGGGCAGCCCTGGGCATCTCCAGCCAGTGCTCCAGGCTTCTCGCTTGAGCAGCCCTACAAGTGCACGTCAGCTGTTCATTGGCACAGGTGATTTTGTTTAATCGTTCCTGGGACACTGGGGGAAGGTAGGACATGTTCTGTCCAACCAATAAAAAGAGTGAACTCAGAAGTCTTCACGAGGTTGCCCAGTGACCCATGTTTGCATTGTCAGGCTTTCTGCCAGCTGAAAGGGCGGAGCGGAAGGAGATGAGAGTCCTGGGTGGCCAGGGGCACTGGGGTCTTAGGCCCTACCAGAGGTCAAAGTGTAGTGTGTGGGGAAAGCAAGGGAGGGAAGAGAAAGGGTGTGTGTGAATGTGTGTGTGTGTGCGCACGCGTGTGTGTGTGTGCGTGTGTGCGTGTGTGTGTGTTTATGGAAAGCTGGTGAGCAGACAATGAGAACTAGCTGGCCCTCACTGACTAGACTTGGCCTTCACTAGTTCTGGGAGCTACCACGACACAATTGGCATGGTTGATGCGCCTCTTGTCTTTTCTAAAGGCTGGAGTTTGGGTTACGTGCTCACTCTTGGAGCGTTATCTTTAGAATCTGGTGTATTACCAATAGCTGTGCCCTGTTTCGTGAGAGCTGCTGCCGGCTCATGTTTGTTCCCCCAACCCTCTGCCACGCCCCTCTGCTCTCCAGCTGGGGAGAATGCTTAGCTCAGTGGAGTGTGATGTGAGCAAGACAGAACGATGTTGAGGTGGGCCTCTCCCTGGAGCTCACGTGGTTGAACAGAGCTCACATTTTGTTTCTCTGTTGGTAGCCTCCCAAATATGGGTCAACATTCACTCAGCACCCCAGGGACACCTGTCTACCTGGGGTCAGGAAGGATTCAGACACCTGCCCCACTGGGAAATGTAGGCTTCTGCAGGTTGACACCGAGCCTTAGCATCCTGGCGATAGGGAAATTGGTCTTATGGCAAACGTGCTCTAGGGGCTTGGCCCAGAGCTCAGCACAATGGCCCCTGCCTATAATCCCAGCTATTTGGGAGCCCAGTGGACGAGGACGGCTAGTTTGACGTCAGTCTATACAACTCAGTGGAGCCTGACTCAAAACAAACTTTAAACATGAGGTGGGGAGGGTGGGGGCTGTGACCCAGCAATAGAGTACTTGCATAGTGCTCGAGAACCTTGGATCAAATCCTAACACTGAAGAAAATCAGATGGGTGAGGTATGGCATGTGGTATCCCAGAAAGGGGCACTTGCCTTGGGCCTGAGAAGTCTGAGGGATTTGGGGAGGGGCTTGAACACAGAGTTGTAAGAGCTTCTCAGCTCGGATCTTCTACAGACACCAACAAGGGCCAGGGGTGTGGCTGGTATAGACTTAGCCACCCTGCCCATGACTGCGCCAGGGTCAATTTCCCTCTGCTGTTTCTCTACTTTCCTGCTCTTTCCCGGCGAAGGGTATTGGTAGATATAAATCTTGTCCCGGGTCCCATGTGTCACATCCAAAGGCCAGGTGTGTAGGCTGGTGTTCCCTTTGTCCTTTAAGAGAGACAGGAATACACTTGTCGGGGATTTCCTGTACTCTTGGTGGAAGATGGCATTCTGGTGAGCGATTAGCAGTGGGGTGTAAATCCTAACCCCCCCAGAGGCTCCCCTTTGCCTGGGCTCTTCCTCACTTATGCCTCGGAGTCTGCCAACTTTGTGTCAGAGATGACCGGTCACATGACTCCTTTTTAAGACTGGGCTTGGCTGGCTTGCATTTCCTGCCCACTGCTGTCCGCAGGCGCCAGGCAACCTTGGTGCTGGCTGGGGTGGGGTGTCTCCAGAGGAAGAACCGAAATATATGACTGGCCACTGTCCTAAGAGAGGCAATTTTATTACCCTACATGTCCTGGAAATCCTGCCTCTGCTTCAGGCAGACTCTAGTCTTGGTTACTGCCAGACGGCCGTCTGTAGCCAGCCTTGGCTCCCTTCTGTGAGTGGCTATGCTGTGAGTCATGAGGCCATCTCTGGCCAGAAGCATGAGGTGCACACTGAGGAGGAAGCGTGCATCTTTCTAGGCCAGGGGAGAAGTCAACAGGCCAGGGGTGGTCACTGGTACCCTGGTGGGCAGGGCCTATAATATCAGACCCAGATATTGTCTCAGGATGGAAAGAACATGCTGGGTGCACAGTTCCCTCTTATTTCAAGGAACGGTGAAGCCCAACTGCATAGTTCTTTCCCATCGTGCAAATCTTCTCTCATTGAATGAGCGAGCCTCAGACACATTCTTCACGTGGTTTATTGATGTCACGAACAAGGCAAACTTTATTTTGATTTGAATTGGCCATTTGATTTGAAATGTTCTACACAAGGTAAACTCTTCACCATGAAACATTTAAATTAAAGATAAATAAATGAGTCCTAGTCTATACATAAACCTGCAGGGGCCACACACACAGGTAAGGTATCGTTGGAGACTCTGTGACCTGTTTGTTCCCTAACTTCGTTCTGGATTCCAACTTACTATGGTGTATAACACTGGATAGCCCACGGGGAATGGCCCCCTAGTGACGAAGCACTTGAAGTCCAAATTTCCAGACTGTGTTTGGATATGAGGGTCAGCTGGTGAGAGGCAGAGGCGGAGGTGAAGAGCAGGAGACAGCAGGGTGAGAGCCTGGAAGTCTGTGTTTTGACTTACACCTGCCTTTGTCCAGTTCACCTAGAGGGTCAGAAACAGGAGAGCAGAGGCCACAGAACACCAGAAAGGAGGAAGTCTGAGACCCAACCCTTCCAGCTTCGAGACACGGTGATTCTCAGCACAACCGTAGGGTCAGTTTCACCACAGCGTTTCTGCCTTCCTTAAGAGGATTGGATTAATTTAGACCTCTTAAATTAGGAAATAAGACTTCTGGGGCAGAATTCAAGCCAAAGATAGGAAATGCGGAAGGTCTGTGTTCCCAACCACTCCACAGACACCACTCGTCAGTTTCGGCACTCTAAGATCTCAGGTCTCCACACTGCCTCCAGGCAGCCTCTGCCTGCCTGTTGAGATGGAGATTCTTTGCTGATCTCAGTTGTTCCCTGACCCCTTCTCTGTGTGTGTGAAGGAGCAGGTGTAACAAGGGCATTGGAGTTAGGTGACTCTGAACTAATCATTTAACCTTTTTGAGCTAATAACTTCTTCTACAGTGGGTAAGTTCACCTAATAGTTGTTAGAAAGAATAGAGCACTTCATGTGAGAGGTTTGGCACTGTGCCTGGCACAGGGTGGTTAGGCATTTAACAAGGGACCGCTATGGTTACCATTGTTTCTTATATGATCATGGTATATGATAGTGAATGTTAGTTTGAGTCCCAGGAAATAGATTTTCAGTTGTTTTCAACCTACAAAATGGCAATTTCTTCTGGTTTCATCTAATCTCTCTCTCTCTCTCTCTCTCTCTCTCTCTCTCTCTGTGTGTGTGTGTGTGTGTGTGTGTGTGTTGTTTTTGAGACAGGGTCTTGCTAAGCTGTCCAGGCATGTTTCAAACGTTCAATCCTCCTGCCTGACCCTCTTGGGAAACTGGGATCCCCTCCTCTGCTACCACACCCATCATACTGATGCATAATGATGTGTGTCATTCAAATCACTTTTTAGTTTAGAACCTTTTTCAGATTCTTCTCTCCACTTAAAAACTACTTTTTTAATAAATCAGTTATTAGAGAGAAGCTAAGACCTGGTGACAGTCCTACACCCTGTTGTCCAGTCACATGACACCGAGAGACCCCAGTCTCCCCATCTGTAAGCTGGGAACAACCGTGTTTTCTTAACAGTGGTTTCACGATGGTAGAGTTAGCAAACGAGAAAACGCTCCCGGGGTTGACAGCACCGCACAAAGCTCGTCAATTGCGCCACTTCACAAACTACAAGACCCTAACATTAACACGGAAGTTATAAGTGCTTTTCTATAGAAAAACCGCACAGGAGATAACGCATGCCGCCATGTCCATGGTTAGCAAAGCAGAGATGATGCTGTTAGGTAGATATTAGAACAAAGCAAAGACAAGGTGCTCCGTATCTCATCAAGGCAAAGTAAGCATGAAATGGAGAAAGTAAGGACCGTTGTGTTAGGAGTACCTTAGAACCAAGCTTTTACATTTACACCAGAAATAACTCGCAAAGGAGATAGAGCAACTCCCTTCTGGTTTCCTTGGAGGGCTTTCAAATGGGCCACGAAGGTTTGCTTTTGGTATGGTTCCTCTAAAGATAGGGGCACAGCCTTTATAATCTTGCAACAAGACTTTAAACCAACGACTTCAGCAGTTTTGGGGAAGGGCTTTCCTGCCTTCCCAGGACGTTACTTTCGTTACTTTTCATGTCCCATACCAGAGCGTGAGGAGGGTGATGTTTTGGACTAGCAGAGGGGAGGGTGGCTCAGTCCCAATCCTCAAGTCTTCTCTCCTTCTGTGACCCTTGGCCAATGTAAGGCGCCTTTAGTCGGCTTCAAAGGCGCTGTTGGTGGCTCCCACATATTCAGACTTCCTCTTCTGCCTGGTCCACATTTTCCGTAGGATGCCAGGGACACCGCAGGAAGCACTGCCTGTTAGTGGCAGGGAGGCTTCGGCTCCCTGGGGAAGGGTTGGGTACTCTTCTGCTATCTTCTTGAGTTGTCTGGATCTACACAAATACCAGAGTGGGGTGGGGATAGAGTGAGGACGGTGCGCAGTGCACTGAGCCAGAGTTAATTTGTAACCCTGAGAAGAGTGTCCAGCCGGACTTCTCCTCTCCTTCTCCATTCCGTGACCGTGATCTGCATAGCTGGAGGGTCACTGTAGAACACCCACGGGAATGTCCCCTGGGGGCGGCTCTCTAATGGAGCAAGAAGAGGTGACCGTGAACACAGTGGTTCATGGGGTCTGGGGTCCTGCCCTCTTGTTCTGAGTCTTGCTTGCCTAACCAGTGAGACTAACTGAGGACTGGTGGTAGCCCAGGGGAGCAGAGCAGATGCAGGAGAGTCCTTGCCCAGCTTGTCTCAGGTCTGGATTTGGTCTCCAGCATAGAGATGGGCAGGTGAGCTGAGGGATGGGGTGGCGGGCTTTAGAGAAGCACTGTGGACTGGAAATTTGATTTCTGTCAAGGCATGGTGCGGTCTTCCTGATCTAGTCGAGCAGTCTACAACAGCTACTGTCCCTCAGAAAAGTTTGTAAAAAATGAAATCCAAGCCAAATGGGTTAAACATACAAACCCAGTTAAATTTCAATGCATCAAATGGCACAAACCTTGTTTTTTTTTTTTTTTTCAATTTTTCCAGGGGAATTCTGACATACAGAAATGCTCCATCCCGTGGGGGTCCCACTCTAACTCCCATGACTCCCACGGCTTTATTTCCTTTATGTAATATTTGTTATGGTTTGATCGTGGTTGTTTTTCTACAGCTTGCCTTGAAACCTTATCTCCGTTTTAAGATATTAAGAGATAGGACCAGAGATCACCCTTGTGTTCTCAGCACGTGGGAGGCAGAAGCAGGGGATCTCAAGTTCTAAGCTAGTCTGGACCATGCACTAAGACCCTGCCTAAAATCAAATAAGGGCGGCAGCTACAGTCAGTGGTGGAGTGTTAGCCACACATGTGCAAGCCTGGGTTCTAGTCTTAGCACCCAAGATAAAAAGACGTAAGACCAGACTAGGGTCTTTTAGATTATAGTTTGCATCATGAATGGATTAACTGATACGTGGGTAATAGGTTATCTCAAAAGTGGGTCTGCCATAAAAGCCTGTCTGAATATATCTCTCCAGTGTTTTTCCATCTTTAGTTGTGCAAACGTCCTGTACGATCTCTGGGCTCTGTCCACAGAGAGCCCATCTTTGAGTATAGTTCTTCGGCACTGGATCACACCCAAATTACTCTCTATTCTTTATAATGTACCAGTCTGCGGTATTTTGTAATGAACAAAAGAAAATGGATTATGTTGTTTCCTTAAGATTTATTTATTTATTATGTATAGAGTGTTATGCCTGCCTGTATGCCTGCAAGTCTGAAGAGGGCACTAGATCTCATTATAGATGGTTGTGAGCCACCGTGTGGTTGCTGGGAATTGAACTCAGGGCCTCTAGAAGAGCAGCCAGTGGTCTTAGCCTCTTAGTTACCTTGCTAACCTTTGATATGTTGTTTTAGCCTGTGTCCCTTCGTGTGTGTGCTGAGCACCTCACCAAAGTACTGCTTCCCAGTCACTTAGAATTTAACATTAGATGTTCGCAGTTTGACTCAAGCTCTCTGTGCTGGCTAGTTTTATGTCAGCTTGACACAAGCCAGAATCTTCAGAAAGGAGGGAATCTTGATTGAGACTCTGACTCCGTAAGATCTGACTGTGGTGCATTTTTCTTATTTAGGGATTAATGGGGGAGGACCCAGCCCACTGTGGATGGTGCCATCCCTGGGCTCGTGGTCCCGGGTGCTATAAGAAAGCAGGTTGAGCAAGCTAGGCTGAGCAAGACAGCAAGCAGCACCCCTCCAGCCTCTGCATCAGCTCCTGCCTCTAGGCTTCAGCCCTGCTTGAGGCTCTGTCCTGCAATGTGGAGTCAGAAGCCAAACAAACTCTTTCCTCTCCAAGTTGCTTTTGATGATGGTGTTTCATCATAGCAAAGGAAACCCCAACTAAACATTCTTTCTACATGATCTATACCTGTTTCCTTTTAGACAACACGTCATGTATTCCAGGTTGATCTTAAACTTATTATGGTTGCCAAGATGACCTTGGAGTTCTGGTCCTCCTCCTTCTGTCTCCCTAGAGCTGAAATCATAGGTGTGTACCACCATGTAGGCTGTTCTCTCTCTCTTTCTTCTTTCTTTCCTTTGTGTGTGTGTATTTTGAAACACTGCAGACATGGTCTTGAACTCTTTGCCACTGCCTCCTGATGCTGGGATTATAGGTGTGCATCATCACATCTGACCCTACATGTGATTTCACCTAATCTCTATGATAACCACTTTTCTCTTGCTTGTGTATATGGATTTTTGGTTGTAGACAAGGTCCCACTAAGCACCTCAAGCTGGCTTCAAACACTTGGCCCTTTGTCCCTACCTCTCAAGTACCAGGGTTATAGGCATGCAGCACCATGCACAACTATGGTTTTTTTATTTTTATTTTTGTTTTTACTGAGCTATATATTTTCCCTACTCCCCTTCCTTCCTCCCTTCTCCCCTTCCACCCTCCCCCTTGCCATTTGGAGCTGTGGATTGTAGTAGTCTAGTTATTGTTTGCTTGACTTTATATCTTCTAGTGAGTACTAGAAGTCCAATGTGCAATGTTTTAGGACTTATTCTATTGTTTTAATTGTATGTGTGCATGTTCGTGTGGGTCTCTGTGTACACTTGTGTGGAGATGCCCTTGGAGGCCAGAGTCATTGGATACCCTTGGAGCTGAACTCCCAGAGGGTTATGAGCAGTCTGGCCTGGGTGCTGGTAATCAAACTTGGGTCTTCTACAGGAGCAGTGCGTACCCTTCATTGCTCAGCCATCTACCTGGCCGCTCTGTGTTTAAACAGAGGAGAATAATATGCTTGAAGTCAGAGTGAGTACCAGCGCCAGGCTAGAAAGCAGAGCTGAGTCATAAGCCTTCATTTTTCATTGTCCCCTCGAGCCCTTGCCATAACCTACAGGTGGAAGGCAGTTACTGAGGCATCAAAGTCCACGCTGAGCTGCTAGCTCTGGCTGTCTTTCTACACGGAAGGCCGTTGGGGCACGGTGGGCTGATTCTATCAGGTGGAATGAAGAGGGGCCATGGCTACAGTTTGTTTTAAAACCTGGACTTTGTGTTTTTGTTTGTTTTGTTTTTGCAGCAGCGCTGGAGGTGAGAGCCAGGACCTTCTGCAGGCTAGGCAGATACTGGACCTGGGCCGCAGATGCTGGGCCACAGAGCTGCGTTCTCTGCCTGGAAACCACGTGAGCCATTTCTGTACCTGTGGGTGAGAGTCCCTAAGAGAACGCATAAGGCATTTCGGACACCATCTATGGAGGTTCTGGATATGGGCCCTGATTCTACTCATCTAATTAAACAAAGCCCTGCAAGCAGTGCTAATGAAGCGGAAGCCACGAAATGTCCTCTCGCCTGATCCTAGTTGATGCGTCTGTAGCTGGACTCATGATTGCAGGCCGCATTCCAAGGTAATTTACAACAGGCAGGGGTTTCTTGGATGCATTAGGTGTGAGAAATGTTGGCCACCTGTCTCCCTCCCGCGTGACCGGGACGGGTGGCGAGCCGTGCAGGCCGCATGGCTGGAAGGCACAATACTTACCCTCTTCCCAGAACAGCTCCTTTTTCGGAGCCCTTGGCGGTCACTTCTACCACAGCTGGAGCTTTCATGGAGATCCGGGCCACCGGAGAAATCTGTGTTTTAAGGAAGTGGGGAAAGGATTGAGGATGGTGCCACATTTCCACTCTGGCCCGTATTGGAGCCCTTTGTAAGAGGGCTGTCTGAAGGTAGCATCCCCAACCTGGGCAACAGCATCGGACATGCTGGAGAGCTTCTAAAGGTAGTGCTGAAATCATACAGTGTCTGATTTAGCAGGACACTGCCTGAGTTGCTGAATTGAACAAGGTCTGTGAAACTGTTGGTTCTGGGACTCTACTTTAAGAACCACTGGCCTAGAGATGTGAGAGAGAGCCATTCAGTCTTCCAAGGGAACTGTCCCCCACCCTCCCACCTCCTCTGCTGGTGTCTGATCATCAGTTCTGCAGGGTCTTTCTTCGACCATGCTGCGCACACCAGCACCAGCCCTCCCGTTTCAGTCCCTTTCAAAGGACTGTCTCCATGCTCCGTTTGTGCCCGGGGCTACACTCTCCATGTCCCACTTGGGCTCTAGAACCCTCAGGAGTCCCCATCTCAACCCCTCAGCAAGAGAGACTCAGGCCAACTCCACATCCTGCTCTTTGAGGCCTTGCAAGGCTGACTTGCAGCTTGGCCTTTGAGACTGTGAGTCAGCAGGATCCAGGGCCACACTTAGCAGGCTCCCTGCCGTGTCTCCTGTTGGCCCACAGCTCCGCATGTCTTCCTGCCTGCGGCTCTGGATCAGGGCCTCGGTTCTATCAGTACACTTCCACCAGGTCCTCCCTGAGGTTGCTGGCCGTTTTCATCTTTCTCTACCTCAGTGCCGCCCCCCACCCCCACCCCAGCACTGTAGAAACTATGTGACAAATTGTTCTTTCTCACTTTGTCTTTTCCCTGTGGTTCTCTAGTTACCACCCTGGTCCCCGGAGAGACTGACTGCGTGACCAGTGAGGGAGACCCTGAGACTGAGCCCTCGCCAGCCCTGCCAAAGGCCCTGCCCTGAACTGACAATCAGCTGATGACCTCATCGGGGCTAAGTCCAGGGGTTGCCCCATCAATGGACACACACTTTGCTTTGTTCTCTGTCCCAGATCTCAACAAAGTGTCAAGTCGCTGCCTTTGCTGAAGCCTCTGGAAAAATTCCAGGTCAAGGACACCAATATTTACCACCTCTCTGCTGGGGCTGGGCAGGCTGAGGGCAGAGTTACTGTGCCAGCTTGTGGCGCCCCCTAGCTGTTCCTCCCTGTCCTGCATCATGAGGATGTTCAGCTACCGTGAGCTGACGTGAGCCTCCTTCCCACCCCTCCCCCTATATCCTTAGTCACCTCTCATCCGTGTGGGCCCTGAATCCGGCTTAGATGGCAGGCTCTGGGTCTCTCTCCTGCATCATGCGTGAGCATCCGACGAGGGTTGGGGCACAGCTGCACTCCTTTCAGGCCCAGGGAATGCTGCCCTGCCTCCTCATCCTCAGAACCACCTGCCACTATCCCAGCTGTCTCTGATCCCTTGCTACAGCTGCGGATCTGCCAAGGGCAGCATCTAAGTCAACCTGGAGGCCTGGGAGCGGGAATTCCAGGCTACTAGACATTCTTTTCTCCTTAACCTTGACCGTTTTCGGCACGGTCAAACCTGTCTTCCTTCCCTCTGCCAGCTGCCTAGCCACCCTGTTTGCTGAGCACGAGGTTGGAAAGAGGACTCTTCCTTGACCGCAGTTTCTCTCCTCCCTACCCTTTGTTCTTCCAATACAGGGACCTTGCTGAAGCTCTCGGATTGGATCTCCTGCCCAGAGCATAAATATCCATCTCTGTCCAGTTTGTTCCACAGGATGAGGGGCTGGCCCAGTTAGCTCTGGCATCTCTTGGAGTTGTCATGTTGAATAGTAGCTACTATAAGGGCCTAGGATGTCTGAGATGATCTCCCCTCCACTCACCCCTGACTCTGTTAACTGAGAGAGAACCCCACACTTAACCCTAGAAGACTACAAAGGAGAAGAGGAGATAGATCTGGGGACATGCCCCTAAGCCCTCTTTAAGAAAGGACAAACAGTGCATGCCTTTAATCCCAGCACTTGGGAGGCAGAGGCAGACGGATCTCTAAGAGTTCAAGGCCAGCCTGCTCTACAAGAGTTAGTTCCAGGACAGGCTCCAAAGCTATAGAGAAACCCTGTCTCAAAAATAAATAAATAAATAAACAAATAAATAAATGAAGGAAGGAAGACAAACTGTTCAACTTCAGGGTGGGCAAATATCCTTGCTCACAGTCACGTGCTTGCTGAGACAGCCCACAGGTCCTGACAGAGTGAGGAAGGAAGACCAAAGCTGACCCATCTGGGCCCAGTCCAGACTCATCTATGTAGGCGACTTGTACCCTAGATCCTACACTTGAAGACGCTAAGCCTGAATCACGGTTCATTTGCTCCCTCCACACAAGCTACCGCTCTACACCTCAGTCCTCAAATCCCAGTGAACCTGGCCTACAAGGGTGCTCTGAGACGCACCCTGCCCTCAAATGACTGGTTGTTATAGACTGAAAGTCTGTACATGACTCAAAACTCATCTGCTAAGGCCCCCCCCTTCCCCCTAGTGTGGTGGTGTGTAGCGTGGAGCCTCCGGGCAGATGATGATATGGAACATCTGTGATAACATTAGTGCCCTCAGAAGAAGACAGAGAGTTCAGCAATGCCTCTGTTGTGTGCACAGAAAACACTTAGCGCTAACACATGCAACTATAAGGCAAGAAAGCCCTCCCCAGACAGCCAGTCTGCTGTGTCCTGGATCTTGGACTCCCCGGTCTCTAAAGTGTACCATGTTTCAGTGCCCTAGTCTGTGGTAAGTGCTATCAGCCAGGCTGACGGAGTCGCTGGTGTTCTGTGCTCGCATGGTGCTGGAGCCCCTCTGAATGCGGGAGAACTTTACATGACGTCAGCCCAGAGCTGCACCTGGGAATTAGTCAGGCATTGCTGCCTGGCCAGACCTCAGAGTTCTCCCGCAAGCATGAGATGCTAGCAAGTCACAGTTTCTGTTTGCATGTGAACTGAGTTCCTGTTGAGAAAGAGAAGCAGCCAGTGGTGTGTCCTAAGTTCACAGAGTGGCGTCAATGGCTAGTTCCAAGAGCAAAGAACCACAGGGCTGCTTACCTAAGGATTCTCAGCCCAGAGCAAAGGACAGCAGCTCCCATTCTGGTACCGGAAAGACATTTCAAGACGTCTCAGGCACAGGAGATACAACGAGTCTGACTTCCTTTACTTACCAATGATTTTCCATATGCTCGGTTCCCACACAGATTCGAAGCTTTGGGCTCAGGAATGCCCACTGTGAAATTGAACAGAAGAGGTATTACTCAGCTGTACTCTGAGTTCTGCCTCCCTCTGCTTCTGAATCAATGATCTCACTAGCCGTCCAGTCATAGAGGGACGTTCTCAGGTCCTTCGTACCAAGCGGCAAAGTCCTGCAGGGCTGGCCAGGCAATGCTAACTGCCGAGTGGGGTCACCCCTACCCCTGCCACTCTCCCAGGAAATGGAACTAAGGTCAATGTAGTTCAACGACCATGATAAGCGTGTCATGGCGGTGGGGATGCTCGGAGTGGAGGAGGCTGCACGCCTGCAGGCAGAAGCCAGAGCTAGGGAATCTGTGTACTTTCAGCTCCGTTTTGCTGTGACCCTCAAACGGCTCGGGAAAAACTAAGTCAACTGAACAAGAACATTTAGCACTGCGTCTGCAGGCGGTAGGTACTCATTGAGTGGCTTCAGCACTTACTTCCTCCTTTCCTGAGCTCTCAGCTCACAAGAAATTAGTTCAAGAAATGAGCTCCATTATTATGCCATGCACATGTGATTCTTACCGGTCCTCCCCCACTTCCCTCCCCAGTCCTCTCTGTCTTCCTGCTGGTCTCCTCCCCTCCCTCAGCCCAGTCTTGTCTGCTTCCACCTCACAAGTATTTTCTTATCCTCCCCTCTCCCAGATCTCTGTTTTCCCCTCATGTCCTCTTTTCTAATTCCAGCACACACCTGCCTATGTAAAGTAAATCTTAGGATCTCAGAGATGGCTCAGTTGGTAAAAGCCCCTGCAATGCAGACCTGATGGCCTGAGTTTGGGAGTCAGGAACCCATGTGATACTGAAGATCTGTGCATTTTGTAGGCAGTCTTAGACTGGACGCCCAAAGACCAATCAAACAACATTTAATCATAGCAACTGAGTTTAAATGGTTGCCTACGGCTTGCTGACTAGTTGGGCTGGACACTAGTTAAATGGGAGCCAACCGACTGGTTGATTGACTGGGTTGTAGCCAAGTAGGTTGTTTTCCGTGCTTTGTTGTAGATTCCACTTTGTTTCCTGTCGACACTGCCTACCAGCGGTGCTGGTTACAGCGAGGAACCTGCTCTGGGAGTCATCTAGTTCCTGAATCCCTTTTCCCATGACTTAACACAAAAGCACGTGCTACTAAACTCAGTTGGTCTAGGAGAATGCCCTTTTAACCCCACCAAGATCAGCCCACAGCGAGCGGTGCCCTTGAATTAGCAGTAACAGCAGCTCACTTTCAAAGGATGCCAGGCCTTGTGCTGAGCGTCAACTGCATCAAAGTGGCTGACCTTACTCCCTGCAGGCCCCACATTCATAGCTAAGAAGTATTGCAAAATATTGCATTTGCAGAGCTGAGAATGTAGTCCAGTGGCAGGGGGCTTGCTCGGCACAGGCAAGACCGTGGCTTCCATCCCCAGCATTGAGCCAACAACGTGATGAAGTTGCATTTGTGTAGCAAAGCATGCTAACGCACACATGGAATTCGAACCATGGGAAGCAGGAGTTCAAAGAAAAGTGAATCTGAGGCACAACTTGGATCATGCGTGCCTGTGTTAAAAAACAAAATAAGAAAAGCCAACCTTGTACTGAACAAGCACATACTTATTCTCCTTGTTGTCCTTGCCTAAACAATACAGCATAACAAGTGTTTTCATAATATTTGTATCATATGAGGTATTTACCTAACTCTCTGTAGATGAGTCAAAGTGGAGAGAAAGACAGATGTGTACAGGTTACATGCAACCATTACGCCATTCTATATAAGCATGGTGCTGTTTGGCATCTTAAGTGGGTCCTGGAACCAACTGTGCCTGACCTGGAGACGGCTGCATCTCATTTAATCCTTCCTGTCACTTTAAGAGGGAGGACCCCGATGGTCGGCACATTTCAGTTGGGGGAAGTAAGGCTTTAGTGACGCATAACCATTCATCTGAAGGCAGACAGGGTGGGTGACATGTCTCCTATGTTCTCAGGCATTTGAATGCTTGGTCCCCAGTTGGTATACCTATTTGTGTAGGCTGAGGAGGTGTGGCCTTGCTGGAAGAGGTCTATCACTGGGGTCTGGTTCTGAGAGGTTAAAGACTTGTGTACTGTCAAGTTCACTCTGCTTCCTGTTTTCAGTTTGAGATGTGAGCTTTCAGCTGCTGTTCCAGGCACCATGTTTGCAGTCTGCAGCCTTGCCGTCCTTGTTAGTATGGTCACTAGCCCTCTGGAATTGTACACCTAAAATGAACCCTTCCTTGTGTAAGTTGCCTTGGTCGTGGTGTTCTATTGCAGTAATAGAAAGGCACCAAAGCACTAGGTAAAGATAGTTTCAGGAAGTGTTAGCCTCTTGTAGACCTGGGGAAGCTTGGTCCCAACTCAGGAGGAGGTGGAGCTTTGCACCCAGAGAGGGAACAATAGTGAAGGTTCAGGGAAACAGAATGGAAGGGGCCATCAGGGAATTATCCCGCAGCTCAGGGCTGTTCTACCTCACAGAATGGTAAGGACAGGAGTGTCACAGGAGGTGGCCATGGAACTCATTATGACTTGGAGGAACTTTGTAGGGAGGGCTTGGGGGCAGAGGCCTTTCACTGGCCTTGTCTACATATGTGAGACGTTGCGGGTCTGAGCCAGGAAGCTTGAGGTAGGTTACAAAAGTGTCAAGGCAAGAGCTCTCTGGGGCTGACACTGTCAGGTTAGTGTATAAAGTGGGAGGGGAGACACAGACACAGAAGAATTAGGGAAGAAATTGGAGGCTTTCTGGAAAGCCGGACAGTCATTCCCGAGAAAAAGGTCACACCTTGTAGCTGTTTAGATAAGCTGATCATCTCTGGGGAAAGTCCTACAAACAGTTTTCTAGGCCCAGGAGTTGGACACCGTCTCTTTCCAGCATCTAAGACCTTATGGCGAGAATGTTTTAGTTGGTTCTACCTACAGTATCCCCATGATCTCCAAGTTTCCTCACCTCACCCCTACCTGAGAAATCTGTAGCATCCAAGACCTTATCCTACAGTTCAGAGAAAGAGCAAGCCCCTAGCCCTGAGGTCCCCGGAGACAGGCAGCACACTGGCAGAAGGAAGTAAGAATTGATACCCAGGGACCAGTGCCTCGCTTTCCTTGGAGAGCATCGGGTTTGGCTTTGGCTCAGCAACACTCCCTCCTACTCATCCTGGATCTATCAGATTGAAGGTGCTGAGGGAATTGAATCAATGCCCAGCTGAATCTATTTTTTTTTCCAATCCAAACCTGACTAGTACACCCCTGCATGAACTGACTGTCACGTGTCGGGCAGACTCTCCGTTTCATAACTTAACTGCTCTTGTCTTTCAGAATAAAAGACTGACTTGGGCAGTACACGATGACAGCAACTACCTACAAAGTTATGACAGCAGCTAAGCATGGTAGTGCACTCATAATCCTGGCTCTTGGGATACTGAGGCAGGAGGACCATGAGTTTGAATTCAGTTTGGGCTACACTATGAAATGCTGTCTTTTAAAGACCACAAAAGCGATGCTTAAAACTACACAAGGGAAGTGGCGCTGACCAGAACATAAGGAGACTGGAAATTGTATGCTGGCTCTGTGGTTGCCAAGGAATGTCACCTTGCACAGGTCAAACAATTCCTACAGCATTGGTTTTTCTGTTCTGTGAATTGGAGCAGGGTGACTGCAGAGGTCAAATGGAAGTGTTAGAAGGGTCACAATCTACTTGACCTTGGTTCTCTCTCTCTCTCTCTCTCTCTCTCTCGTGTGTATGTGTGTGCATAAAACACAGATTGCTATGCCTTAACCCTGGAAATTCTAGTCAAATAAAATGTGCTTTTCCAACATATTTCTGGGTGCTGCTCCTGGGATCCCACTTTGGATATCTCTGTAGTAACCTCTCTCTAAAACCTTGCTGCTCAATCTGTTGACCCTGTAGTTACAAAAGCAGCACCATCTGGGTGTGTCAGTAATGAAGCCTCAGGATCCATAGGTGGACTAGCATCCTTCTGAATTCAACCCTGCATCCGGGAAAGGCCTCTCGTTGATAATTGTGTACACAGTAATTCAAGAGGTATGGCTTTTAAATTGGCTTTATGATTTTTGGAGCAAAGAGGAATATTCTGCCTATTTTTTCTTTCCACACATGCACACCCTCCCACTCACCTATACATAGACACAGAGAAGAATCTATCTCCTCTTAATTTGCAAGGCAGATTGTGACTTTTCTAATGCTTCCCTTCTATTTACATGTATGCAATCAAACTTAACTGAGGGCATAGCTTGGTTTATATGATCTTGTACCATCGATCATGAGTGCAGGGTGAGACAAAGAAACCTAGTCTGACACCTAAGAAAAGCAATAACTGAAAAAAACAACAAAACTTGGAAGAAAACATCAAGAAAGGGCCTGGAATGGGAAAAGATGAAGGAACACAGTCAGTAGAGACTCATGTCAGGTCCTGTAAAATACAAAACTGCTAATGCCCAAATCTTTGACAACATTTTGGATTTTCTTGTGTGTATGTGTGTATACAGGTGTGTGTTCATATCAGTGTATGTGAATGCATAAAATGAAGGGGGTGCATGTGGAAGCCAGAAGTTAACCTTAGGTATCATTCATCTTGTTTTTGAGACAGTCTTTTCTTGAGATCTGAGGCTTGCCTATTAGGCCGGCCAGGAGCTCCTGGGGTTCTCCTGCCTCTGCCTCCCCAACACAGGATTGCACTCACACTGCACACCCTGTATGAGGTTGTACACACACACACACACACACACACACACACACACACGCACACACACACTGCACACCCGCTTTGTATGTAGGTCCTGGATTAGACTCTGGCCCTAATGTTTGTGTCACAAAACTTTGACAACTGAGCTATCGCCCTAGCTCCTGGGTTTTGAGGTAGAATCTTCTCAAGCCTAGGCTGACCTTGAACTCATGACAGTCTGCCTGCCTCAGCTTTCAAATGCTGAGGTTACAAGTGTAACCTCAACTATGTATTTTTGGAATCAAAACATGAGTTTTCCACTGATGATAGAACAGAAAAAAGCCTAAACTATAACTTAGAGAGAAAGTACTATTAGAAACTTCAGTGGGCTAGTAGTTGAATTCTATGTTACCACTTAGGGTAGAAGCCATTCAGAAAAATAATATCCAAGATAGCATTACTGTTTCCAGATTTCAAACAGGTTTCCCCCTAAATTCTTTTTATATTATTACGTCATTCAAATGTGGGAAAAAAATTGGTACAATTTAATTGTTATGGTTGTGGTGCTGGTCCTGGGGATGAATCTAGTGCCTTTCATATAGGTGAAGGTATTGGTGGTCTTATCTCTGTAGGTGAGACCCAATAGCAGGTGTTTTCTCAACTCAAACAAGTTTTTTGTTTTTTTGTTTTGAAAGTTGAATGCTCAGTCAGCCTGCCAGGGATAACCAACCACAAGATAGGACGTATATGAGCCCCTGCTGTGAAAGTCACGCTCCCCGGGGTTCCCGGCGCCTGGGGTACCCGAGGGACTCACATACCAGGCCTGACCGGGGTTTTGGTGGGATGCGTCCCCGATGACCTGGCAGTCTGCAGTCGGCCAAATCTGCGTTCACCTGTATCCCGGCGCTCACAGCGCTGAGGGAGCAGCTCCAGGGGTCTTGGCGGGTACAGGTCCGACTCGATCACCACCTGTAGGGAGCAAGGAACACAGCCAGTCATCCTCCCCTGAGTCCCCCAGTGCTGGGGCCTCCCCGCACCCACCTCGTGTGCTCAAGGGAATTGTAAGGAGCCTGAATCAGGGTGGCGGGAAGTGAATTTTCGCTGAGTGGAGATCGCAGAAACTCAGAAGGGAGGGCTAAAAGCTAAGGTGGTTTCATTCCTATCGCCTGCTATAGGGCTCAACCACATATGGTGCATCAATAACCTGACCATCGGGGACCATCGAGGAACTCACAGCAGCTGTGGTTACTCCCACAAGATCAAGGGAATCCACATTCCAACACGAGGGAGGAGGGGATCATGAGCCTCCCTCCACCCCTAGCTGAAAAGCTATTGACAGTTGATGGCTTCTCCGGAAGGGAGTTTTTCTTCAATGGTGTCACCTCTGGGAGGTCAACCATTCTTCAGTGGATGGCCTCACCCCCAAAAGCATACAGACAGCACAGAGGAGGGACTTGGACTGTTTTTTTTTTTTTAAAAAAAAAACAAAACAAAAAACATGATGCTGGGGGGAGGGGTGGATGTGGGGGAAGTTAGGAAGAGGAGTGGTAGTGGATATGATCAAAATACATGGCGTGAAAAGTGTTAATAAAAGATTATATTGCCTGTGCAGAAAGAGGGCAGAGACGGTAAGAGCCAGAGGTGGCAGGTAACTGTAAGAAAAAAGGGGCTTCCAGATGCAATAGGGAAGGCACACACATGAATTTGCAGAATGTTGTGGCATGTAGCATGAAGCTCAAGGCAGATGTAACCCAGCAAGGAGGAAGAGCTGTGGGCATGAAGTCCCACCCCTCGCCCAGAATCTATTCGCAGCTGACACTGGGTCTATCAGCCACACTCCAGAGCAGGTGCCAACACAGATCTGACCCCGTGATGGGTTGTTGGTTCTGTTTGTGTTAAAGAGACAGAAGGAACTTGAAGTTGGGTGGGTTTGGAAGGATCTGGGGGAGAGGGGAAGCTGGAGGGAGGGAGAAGATAAGATCAAACTCTTGTACGAAGTTCTTAATGGTTCTGCTTTAAAAACCACCTGCCGCTACACTGTGCACAGAGGTCGCTCTTCATCTCCTAGCTGACAGCACGCAGCAGCAGTTACATAGCATTTCATTCTCTTTAGGCAGCGTGTGACCTGGAGACGAGATAGTGTCGGGTGTGTGTGTGCGCGGGCTGAATGCACAGGCTGTGCCATTTACACAGGGAACGTGAGCCTGTGAATGTTGGTATCTGTGGATGTCTTGGAACCAATTCCCAAGGGTACTGAGGGACAGCTGTACTTAAATCACTGAGAAAATTCAAAAACGTAAAAACAGGAGGCAAATAATAGCCATCATTTTATCTTAATACGGGGAGTCGTGAAGGGAATCTTGGCAGCCAGGGAGCAGATTCTGCATATTTTATCCATTTCCAGGACACAGAGTCATTCATTCTGATTGTCCTTACTCCATGAGTCTCATTCATTCGACGTTGCAGTATTCCATAACGCTGCAGCCTCCCCAAGGCTTGCCCCCGCCACTTCCTTCTGTGCACAGCTGCCCTGCAAGGGCCCATTCTGTGTCCACTCCCGGCTCCCGTGCATCTGTGAGGGAGGCGGATGGGCTCGGTCCTGATGGCCTAGCTTTTGGCAGACCTTCTTCAGTTGACTACACAGAGCTATAGTGCTGGTGCTGGGGGGATTCCAGAGCAGAAATAAATGGGCTTTTAAAGACATGATAACAGCGTGGTATTTCAAGTCAGTGGAGGACACTGTATCTTTAACGATACTCTTGGAATAAGTATCAGGTCACCGGGGAAAAGCATCTCTGTTTGGTTTGGGTGATAAGTCAGGTCCAAGTTGTGTGCTAAACAACAAACACTAAAACAGACTATAGCTCAATATGACACATAGCATTACATGTGTTCATAAGACTCTTTACCACGTGATAAAATTGAAAAAAAATAGAAAAATGAAGGACAAATATGAGCAAAACCCATACATTTGCTGAACACTAGTGACTAAATGCATATTACAATAATGAAATATCTCTCTCCTATCAGATTACCAGTGAAGAACAAGATAACTCCATTTGGGCTCAGGTCAGCCTGAGTTCCAGCTCCAGATACTTCATTTTTAGATAAGGTCTCATGTAGTCTAAGATAGCCTCCAGTTTGCTATGTAGTCGAGGGTGTCTTTGAACTTCTGATCTTCCCGCCGCCACCTGCAGAATGCTGTGATTGCAGATGTGTACCACCAAGCTGGGATTCAAACCCAGAGCTGCATGCATGGTAAGCAAACATTCAACCAACTCAGCCACGTTCTAAGACCTTAAGGCCCAGTTTTGACACTCAGTAGTTGAGCAGAGTAGGGATATTCAAGCCCACCCTTGCTGGACAAACAGAATCAATGCCTGTTATTAGCAAAGATTTCTGATGTCTTCAGGGCACACATTCACCTGTCTTATTTGTAAGTGTGTTGAAAAGTGTTCTGAAGACCAAACCTTCCTTTCTCCCACAGAGGACCAGAAGAGAAGCCACCACTCTTTCTTTCAGTTTACCACAAAGAGCCCTTTACTTAGAAATTGAAGATCACACATTTGGTCTTAAACTGGATAGGGCATTCACTCTTCTCAGATAAATTTAGGGACCATCTTTGGGGAAAGCTGGGGGTTATTTTGAACATTTGGGATCATCACTGGCCTGACAATCCTTGTCTTTTCCTGCTCTGGGCATTTCAGAAATGGTAATTTATTTGGTTCCCTGCAAGACTTTTGATGAAGGCTGAGCAAAAATTCCTGTGTGTGTGTGTGTGTGTGTGTGTGTGTGTGTGTGTGTGTGTGTGCACGCACTATTTTCCAGGTAATTATTTAGGGTCACCTACTTCCTTAGTGTATATTCCACAGGACCCCAAAGCATGACAAGAACTGGCTTCTGAGTCCCTGACTTGTTTTCCTGTCTGTAGAACTTACTGCTGATAGCCATGGAGCAAAGCAGTCAGTGAGCGTGTCCTTAGCATCTTGAGTATAGAGCTAAGACCTGAGAGGTGGGGTGGGAGCATGAGATGTTAATTGGACAGAGGAGGGAAAACAAGAATTTGGTGATGATTTTCCCTGTCCTAGGCTAAGATAACACTGTCTACTGAAGTGTTATCTTACCACATTTCTGGGAAGTCCATTCCCTGACACCTCAAGCCCACCCTTCTGTTGTTTGCCAGCTGGGAGGTCAGATGAATTAGACAGCTGAGACCTAGATGGTGGGGCACAATTGTGGCTTGGGGCAGAAGGAATCTATAGAAATGTTCAAGCAGACTCTAAAATTTTACGTATAGGGAGCTTTGTGTCTTTCTTAAGGTCCCAGAGCTGCCCTTATACAGAACCTGAGTAAAAGCTCTCTGTAAAACCGCAGAAGCACCTGTACCCAGCTGGGAGTTTTCAAGTACAATTGAATGCTTTGTGCATAAGCCAGGAGATTCTACACAGATGTCCCCACACAAGCATCAAATCTGGGGACAAAGTGATATTTACAATCCTGTTTGTCTTTCTTCTCGCCAGCTCCCCTGCTTATTATCAAAGGGCTCCATTATCTTGGGATGCTTAACAAATCCACTCCTTGTGTGGGTGCAGTCTCTTGAGATATTTCTATGACATTCACAGGCATCGGGATGATTAGGACGTCAATAAACAGACTGGGAATCAAAAAAGGAGAGAAAAAGGAGAGGGAGGGAGAGAAAGCACTCCCAAGAAGGGGATGTGCCTTAGGATTTGGAAGAAAATGCAGCTCACGTGGAGTCCAAGAGGAAGAGACTTGGGCACCGAGGATGAGTCAGAGAGGAAAGCGATATTCTTGGAGGAGGAAGGAAATGAATTTCCATCCACATGGCGGCCCAAGGAGTGACAGGAGATGCAAATGAACTCGTCAATCTGTCAGTGTTGGTGCCCGTGCACGGTAGGGTGGGATTTCCTGTGGTACTTTCAGGCTGCCACACTGGAGAACTGGACAGAAGCCCCATGCCCCCTCCTCACCTCACCAAGACAAGGATTTCAGACTTGAGTTGCCCTGTCCAGCCTGGCGTGTGTGTTCTGTAGCCTGAGCTTTGTAAACAGAGGGGGAGCTGGGCAGCTATCGGCCAAGGCTGAATCACCCTCAGTGAAGTTTCCTGACTGAGTTATCTGTGAACAACCCTTTTCTTCCATCTCCATTGTGAACTGGGTTGTTAATTCTCAAAGATTTGAGTGAGGTCAGGATCTCATGACTCACAACCTTCCTCCTTCCTAATATAGCAAAGACTTCCAAAA